CCTGCAAATCAAAATGCAGCAATGTTAAAAAAATAACACCAAACTGGACATTACCTCAAACAAGAAAACTGCATTTATTATTTTTATTTGAAAACAGGAAGCTTAAGAAAACAACATAATGGTGTGCTTCATAAGATGTGCTCTTCACAGAATGTCATTATGGATACTAACTTAGGATGAGATGGGCAGGGATGCAGTATAGCAACCTGTGCCTGAGTACAACACTACTGGTTCTCTAAGGATCTGGCTGCAGACCTGAGGGTGACCCAGGCACTATCTTCTATAACACAATTTATTTAGAAGTTTATTGAGATGCCGCAAATAATACCTGTACCCGAAAATATGTTAATCATGCAACATAATGAAACCACCAAGTAACACTGTTAAGTTGATCACTTCTTACATGTTTCATAATTATCCATGGATTTGGAGTACTCAAAATTTGATAATTTACCAACATAACAAAATGTCTTTCACATTTCATCTAAACCATTGAAGTTAATTAATATCTGCACATATCAGAAGAAATCTTTTTGGTCATATAGCTCCTCTCTCTTCACCTTTACATCAAGATTGCTGTCAACCAAATGAGAGCATGTAACGCATAGCTTACAAGATTGTATCATTCAGCAACCTTACATATTGCTGTATTACAACCAAGATTACCTCCGACATTAATTTTTGTTTTTAAGTACCAACTGTACATGAAGTATTTAAACTACAAGAGCTGGCCAAAATAACACCATAAAAGAAATTAAAATAAAGAAAGAAAGAAAGATGACATGCATGAGAGCCATTTCCATGTCACTGCTCTTCAACTGGTTAAATGGGAATTCTACAGTAGTAACATTTCAGCATAAAATTAGCAATTTATGATGCATATTTTTCCACAAATGTACCAGCTTTTGTAACAGAATGAGCAAGATTTATAAATCAACTTAAGAAAACAACATAATGGTGTGCTTTGTAGGATGTGCTCTTCATTTCTATGCACAACTTTAAACAGTAAAATGTCTGACTACATCATACTTGCATATGTAATCTAAACATTTCCGAAACTGCCACATTTATAACTATTAGGAAATAATAACAATTTCAAACACACTTCATAGGTGCCTATGCTTTCTTTACCACAACACAATATTTCTCATGCCTAGGTATAATGTTTTACTAGTGTCACTATCACATGAAAAAATGAACATAAAATTAGCATGGCTGCCATGATAATGGTCCCGCGCCGTAGCCACGCGGTCTGAGGCATCATGCTTCGGACTGGTGATACGGAATGCGCGCTGGTACGAGTCTCGGGGAAAGAAATTTCTCATGAGATTTTCGACC